TTGTTTTTATATGTTTTTTAAATATGTTTATAAATATAATCTTTTTCTTCCTTACTGCGATCAGAAAAAAAATTTGATTTTTCAAGTGGAAGTTTTGTATTTTGAATCGTTCTTAACTTCGACTTAAATCAATTAATTTTGTAGAAAAAAATTAATTAGAAAAACTATAATACAAAAACGAAATTTTATTTAATTTAAATTGATACTTACTGCATAAAAATTTTCTGGCTACAAGAAATGAATTCTTATAATTTTCAGAAAAATTTACAATTAGAAAACTTAACATAATTATTATTAAAAAATAATGCACTGATTTTTAGTAGATGTAGGGTCAATTGGGGTAAATGGGGACAAGAGGTTTTGGAGCTTAATTTACAGTTTTTAAATTAAGTTCAACATCAATATTTTAACCTCACGTTACCTGTAACAGGTTATGAGTATTGCCAAATGCGAGACAAAATACTGGATTAAAAAAATAATTTCAATTGGTTCAACTATTATATATCTACTACAAAATTTTTTTCAAGTTTTTTCATCCCTTAATACAGCAATATACTTAAATAAACTTTTTCTTAAAACTTTCTTAGAAACAAATAAAAATTGTAAATAAATATGATAAATTAACTTACAGAATCGGATGAAGTAGATAATACATTAATCTCTTCATTCTGTTGAAGAGTACGTAAAATTCTCCTTTGAGTGGAATATGAATAACTTTCGAAATTCTTGTATCGGTGCATATTGTTCATTTATGAATATAATCAATGTATTAATTTTATTTCGATTAATTATTTGAACATTTCAGACTTGAATTATTAAAAAAAATTGTTTTAAAATCTTCCAATAATATAAACTTTAATTACAAAACATATACTTGACACGTCAGTCGAAAATTCAGTTTTGACATTTTAAACATAATACAAACTCGCTTTTAATTTGAAAAAAACAATCGATAAAAGTCAAATTTAAAAAATAAATATTTTAATTTAATTTTAATTTATTTAAAAAAATCTTTTAAAATTAAATTTACTTTACAGAAATTAAATTATAATCTTTTATTATTTAAACATAACTAATTAATAAATATATTTTCATTCAAATAAATTCTAAAATATTTAAAAAATTTTGAATAATTTATTGCAATTTTTTTAAGTGACAACATTCAATTTATTGAAATGTCATTTAGTGCAAAAGTGTCAAGTGTTCATGTCAGAAGAAAAAAAAATTAATCATTAAAATCAAACAAAAAATGACTGAGAAAACTAAAACTTTTTGCCTTGTCTTCTGGAAAGAAGACAAAACATATAGTGTTATGGAAGAACCTCAGGAATTAAAAAACATTTGTGACGGAGAGGAGGCAGATTTAGTGGAAGAAGGAACTTCATATAAAATTATTGTTTTGGCAAGAAGCGGTAATTATACTTTTTTTTAATAATAAAAAAATAACAGCTAATTACACTCATTTTCTTAATAGTTTGGAAAAATTTTAATTTATTAAATTACTATAAAATTAAATATTTCAATATTGGTTTGAAAAAATATTTTTATATTTATTTATTTAATTTAAAAATTCGAAGCTTCTAATCGTTTTTTACATTTCTAATATTAAAATTATAATAAATATAGAAAATAAAAAATATCTAAAGAAGTTAGAAGTTTCAACGGAAGGAAATATTATAAAAAAGAAACCGTCTAAAAATAAAAGAATTGATAAATGTAATAAGAATAAAGAAAGAAAAATTGTTCAAGAAGAACTAAACGAAAAAATTCTTAAATTAGGAGTGGACAATATATTTATGAATATGCCTGGACCTTCCAAATTTCAAATTCCAATAGGTAACTGTTTTTCCTCATTCTTTTTTTTTAATTATATATATTTTCTTTTTTCCTTTCATCTATTTTTTTCTCCATTCTCCTTCACTCAATAATAATTCGTCCTGATTTATTCATGAATAATAACCTGAAAATTATTTTTTTAGATGTTAAATCAAATAGAACTGACGAAGAATTAGTTAAGAGCGACAACCAAAGAGACTTTCTGCAAGATTCGGAGAATAAAATAATAAATTCTAAAACTGAACTTACGAAGTCACAAGTCCCAAAAAGTAATAATTTCATTCTAAACAAAGAGAAAAATACTCTCATTTACTCTTTCTCTTACTCTATATATTTTCATCAGTATCTTTAATTCTCTTTTATTTTATATTTTCTCTAATTCACTCATTGCCTAATTCTTACTTTTTCACGCGTTCTCCCATTCACTCTTATACCTCTCAACTCTTTTTCACTTCTCCACTACTGTCTGTCTTATTGTCTTATTCTCACTTTTTTCGTCTCAATCAGTTGCTGTTTCTTCTTTTTTGTATCTTATAAATTCTTTTTTTCTCATTCTCCCTTCCACTTCCTTTTTTCTTTCATCCTTCTCCATTTCTTTCTCTCGCTAATATATTTGTAGCTTTTTTTCATTTTTAATTCTATGGTTAACGAAAAACAGAAATACCAGACATGTAAATGGGATGAGCAAAAAGTTTTGAATGTTCAAATTTTTTTTAATCTATAAATTATTAAAAATTATGATGTCAATGTAAAATAAAACAATAAATTAAACAATTATTAAAGTAAATAACTTCTTTTTAGAAATTTAAAACAATATTTTGTAATAAAATTCGTAATTAAAGGAGTTGGAAAAAAATTCGTTCATTTGAACGTTCAAAACTTTTGGCTCATTAAATGGAAATTTTCTTATCTTATTTATTGACAGTATAAATTGTCATCACTTACTCCTGCAAAATAATCTAACACGTATCTTTAAAGGCGGCGACTCAATGAAAAGCAAAAAAAGAGATTCAAATACTCATAAGAAAAGTAACTTTACTGAAGATATTAAAAGCAAAAACTCACATAACAATATTGCTCCAAATAAACAGATGCCTAAAATTTCTAAAGTACAAAAACCAAAAGGTAACTATTTTAACTTTAAAAACGAATTTAGCCAAGCCCTAAATCTAATTTTTCTCTATATCTGTATTATTTTCCTTTGTAAAATTTTTTAATTCTTTCCACTCTCCATTTTCAAATTTTTTCTTTAATTAATCATTTTTACTCTTATTACTATACACTATTATTCTTTTATCCATTTCACTTTATTTTACCATTCCTTTTTTTCTGTACAATAATTCTCATAAAATGTTCTCTTTTACTTAATATTCTAAAAAAAATCTTAGTAGTGCTAAAAATAAAAATTTCCAAATATTAAATTTAATAAAATCTTAGTCGTGTATTTTAGTTTTCCTCATTTATTCATGAATAATAATCTAAAAACCATTTCTTTTAGGTGCTAAAGCAAATAGAAATGACGCAGAATCATTAAAGAGCGACAACCAAAGTGAATTTTTGCAAGATTCCGACAATGGAAATTCTGACAATGAAATAATAAAATCTCAAATTGAACTTTCGAAGTCAGAAGTTCCAAAAAGTAATTATTTTATAGTAACATAAAAAGAGAAAAATATTCTCTATATATCTTTCATTTTCTTTAATTCTATTTGTTTCTAATTCCAACATTGCGTGTTTCTTACTTTTTCGCACCATTTCACACTTATACTTCCTACATCTCTTTCACTTGTCCACTTTTGTCTTTCTATTTGTCTTCATAGAAAAAACCTTATCTCATTTTTGTTGCCCATCAACATGAGCCGCCTACACGGCTTATTCTGAGTTCAGTTTTTTTCTTTGTTATTCTGGTTTTTCTTCTTAAACAGTCATCTTTTCTTCTTATCTTTTGTATATTTTAAACTCTTTTTCTTATTTTCTTTTCCATTCCCTTCATCTTCACCATCTCTCTTTTCTTCTTACTTTCTTTAACCCTCTATTATCTAAGTATTTTTTTATTCACTACTTTAACAAAGAAAATTCTTCTAATAAACATAAAATAGAAATTTATTTTTATATTATTATGAGAAGAAAAAGTCTTAAATTTGTGCGAATCTGAACATTCTCTAATTCTTGTTTACTAAATGAATTTGTCAATCTGTTTGGTCGCAACTTCCAATAAAACAGATTGCTTAATTTTGAGTGAAATACTTCTGTCCACTAATTGCATCATTATAATTAAATTATATAAAAATATATAAATTATTTTTAAAGGTAACATGAACGATAGCAAAAATACTGATCCGGTCGCAATAATTGAGCATGTTAAATATTTACCTGGACATTCAAAACAACAAATGCCAAAATGTAATTATTTTAACCTAATAATTTACATCAAAACACACATATACCATACTAGCATAAATCAGATTTCCGCTTCCATCGGATAATTTTTCTTGCTTTAGAAATCCGATATATATGGGTTTATTCAGTCTCTCTTAAACTCTTAATTACTCTATCTTACTTTTTCTTTATAAACAAATTTAAATCTAAAACATATATTTTTCTATTTTCTAGTTCCTCCGGAATTTGTTACATTTCTGCGACAATTTTTGGCCTTCGCAGAAAGTAATCAATCAAATGAAAATTCAGATGATAGCAACCAAGTCCGTTATCTTTTCATCCAATATAAAATTTTCTTTGAAAGAAGAAAAACTTCTTAGTTTCAAAGAAAATTTCTTTCATTCGAAAAAATTTTCTTTGATTTAAAGAAATTTGTGCATTAAATCGAAGAAATTGTAATATTGATATGGGGCCAAAGAAACATTTATTTCAATTAAATAACAAATTTCTTTGAAACGAAGATAATTTTCTTGTGATCAAAGATAATTTTGTTTGAAACAAATTAATTTTCTTTCAATCAAAAAAAAATTTGTCAAAGAAATTGATTTCTTTTAATCAAAGAAATCTTTTTTCTCGATGCGTTTTATTCACTATTTCTATTTCTCTAATAACTTAATTATTCACCCTTACTCCTAAAATATTACTTTCATTTCATCCGTTTTAATGTAGTTAACAAACCTGTTATCCAGCGGAGGTATTGAAAATAATCAAAATAAAGTTTCCATAATAAACGATACTTTGGTGATTCGGAAATCACAAGAAGTAGAATTCACCCGCTTTAAAAAAAAACCTAAAGAAATGGTTCGTCGCTTGATGTTAGAATTAGTAGGTCGCGACGAACTGAAAACAATGACTGCTCTCGGAAAGCAAACGGTAGGAAGTAAAAGAAAGGAAATTCCAGAACAAATCAGGAATTGTGTTTACAGTGTGTATCGTCATTGTTATGTATTAATTTTTATTAATTTTATTAATTAATTAAATTTTATTATTAATTTTTTTCAGATTATATTATGAAACATTCAAAAGGATTAAGCTATACCAAATATATTGATACACTTAATAATCAATGCTGCACATTGAGAAATCCGAAGAGCTCAATTCCAACGAACATAAAAAAAAATAATCAAAATAACAAGCGTAAAAATATTGAAGATGAGGATTCTGGAAGTGAGCATGAATTAAGTGAAAGGTATATCATATATAAAGCATGTGTGACCGGGTCAGAAAAAACGGTGTTATCGACTGAAAAATCGATTTTTTTGTGATGGTTTCTTACAGTTTGAGGTCCTAAAAATACAATGCAACTATAGTCCTAAATGTAAAAAAAATTTGTTGCATTTGTTTAAACAAATTAAAAAAAAAAATTTATTTTGAAAAATTTTTTTAATGAAAATATAAGTAATTCTAAGGCAAAAATTACTCTTGGTATTTTTGCTTAAAATAAAAAATTGAATGCCAAAACCATTAACAAAAAATTAGAGCTAAATTCTGCGCGATGATCCATAAGTATATATTCATCATCGGCGACCTGGTTCTATAGATAAAAAATAACCGTGGATTATTGTGCGGTTGTCAGTTCTGAAGGTGCATAAAAAATTTCAGTCCTCTAGAACATCAGCAAGTCGTTCAAATTAAATTTTAAAATTTCATATTTTGACTTTTGCAAAACAAATTGTTTATAACAATAACACTGATGTTCAAAAAATAAAAAAAATAAAATTTTATTCATAAAAATCGTGTTCAACATAAAAAATACATAAGGAACACTTATCTAGGTCCTTAGAAATATAAAATGTTTCAAGAAATCTATTTTAATTGGTAGTAAAACTTTTAACGCGTTTTTCTCAAAAAGTTGATTTTGGTCGATACCACCGTTTATAGGTAAAATATGTATAGAAAATTGTTTAAGGGTACATCTTAATAATAATAAAAATTAACAACAATAACTGTATATAGGGAGGATTCTTCAGAAGCAGAATCAATGGCTAAAAAGCAAAAAATCAATTCAAGTGAAAATTTATGTTCTGAGCAATGATTTCAATAATTTTTTTTTAAATTTGAAGCTTATTAAATTGACATTAGTTTTTGTTTACCATTTCTATATTATCAATTATGTTTAAACTTTAAACATAATATAAATAATAATAATAATAAAAATCCATTATAAAATAAGTACAATAAAATACATTTTGTTGAAAAGTAAGGTTTAAAGAAATTTATTTGAAATTATAAGTACAGGAATTTTACTAAATATGATAAAAAACAAAAAATGTTTTGCCATGGTTCATCCAGGGTAAAAACATTTTTGTAATCAATAAAAAAGACAAAAAATGTTTCGCCATGGTTCATCCAGAGTAAAAACATTTTTGTCTTGATCCATGGTTCGCCAAGGGTTAAAGACAGTGACAAAAATTCAATAAAAAAGACAAAAAATGTTTTGCCATGGTTAAGCCAGGGTAAAAAATGTTTTGTCTTGATCCATGGTTCGCCAAGGGTTAAAGACAGTGACAAAAATTCAATAAAAAAGACAAAAAATGTTTTGCCATGGTTAAGCCAGGGTAAAAAATGTTTTGTCTTGATCCATGGTTCGCCAAGGGTTAAAGACAGTGACAAAAATTCAATAAAAAAGACAAAAAAGGTTTTGCCATGGTTAACCCAGGGTAAAAACTGTTTTGTCATGATCCATGGTTCGCCAAGGGTTAAAGTAAGAAAAATTCAATAAAAAAGACAAAAAATGTTTTACAATGGTTCATCCAGGGTAAAAACTATTTTGTCTTGATCCATGGTTCGCCAAGGGTTAAAGACAGTGACAAAAATTCAATAAAAAAGACAAAAAATGTTTTGCCATGGTTAACCCAGGGTAAAAACTGTTTTGTCTTGATCCATGGTTCGCCAAGGCTTATAGTAAGAAAAATTCAAGAAAAAAGACAGAAAATGTTTTGCCATGGTTCATCCAGGGTAAAAACATTTTTGTCTCAATCCATGGTTCGCCAAGGGTTAAAGAAAGTGACAAAAATTCAATAAAAAAAGACAAAAAATGTTTCGCCATGGTTCATCCAGGGTAAAAACATTTTTGTCTTGATCCATGGTTCGCCAAGGGTTAAAGACAGTGACAAAAATTCAATAAAAAAGACAAAAAATGTTTTGCCATGGTTAAGCCAGGGTAAAAAATGTTTTGTCTTGATCCATGGTTCGCCAAGGGTTAAAGACAGTGACAAAAATTCAATAAAAAAGACAAAAAAGGTTTTGCCATGGTTAACCCAGGGTAAAAACTGTTTTGTCTTGATCCATGGTTCGCCAAGGGTTAAAGTAAGAAAAATTCAATAAAAAAGACAAAAAATGTTTTACAATGGTTCATCCAGGGTAAAAACTATTTTGTCTTGATCCATGGTTCGCCAAGGCTTATAGTAAGAAAAATTCAAGAAAAAAGACAGAAAATGTTTTGCCATGGTTCATCCAGGGTAAAAACATTTTTGTCTCAATCCATGGTTCGCCAAGGGTTAAAGAAAGTGACAAAAATTCAATAAAAAAAGACAAAAAATGTTTCGCCATGGTTCATCCAGGGTAAAAATATTTTTGTCTTGATCCATGGTTCGCCAAGGGTTAAAGACAGTGACAAAAATTTAATAAAAAAGACAAAAAATGTTTCGCCATGGTTCATCCAGGGTAAAAACATTTTTGTCTTGATCCATGGTTCGCCAAGGGTTAAAGACAGTGACAAAAATTAAATAAAAAAGACAAAAAATATTTTGCCATGGTTGAGCCAGGGTAAAAACTGTTTTGTCTTGATCCATGGTTCGCCAAGGGTTAAAGACAGTGACAAAAATTAAATAAAGAAGACAAAAAATATTTTGCCATGGTGAAGCCAGGATAAAAACTGTTTTGTCTTTATCCATGGTTCGCCAAGGGTAAAAGTAAGAAAAATTCAATAAAAAAGACAGAAAATGTTTTGCCATGGTTCATCCAGGGTAAAAACATTTTTGTCTCAATCCATGGTTCGCCAAGGGTTAAAGACAGTGACAAAAATTCAATAAAAAAGACAAAAAAGGTTTTGCCATGGTTAACCCAGGGTAAAAACATTTTTGTCTCAATCCATGGTTCGCCAAGGGTTAAAGTGCATTAATTTCATTACAATCAAAGAAATATATTTCTGCTCCTCAGCCAGGCATTTCCCAGACCATGGGAAACGATCATAAGCAAGGGTTATCCCAGGGAATGTATTTGCCCTAGCCTATGGTTTCGCCAAGGTTTTTTACATCTTACTTCGAACCTTCTCCCAGGGTCTTCCCTGGGTTGACCATTTCTACGCGGGTATTTTGAACAATATTTTATAATAAAATTCGTACTTGAAGAAGTTGCAAAAAAAATTTCGTTCATATGAACGTTCAAAACTTTTGGCTTATTTTTTAACGCCCAAATGTGATACTTTTCGACCTGGACTTCAATTTTGTCCAATTAGCAGAAAAAAGGTTTATAATTGTCAAACATTACGTTTTTAACTATTTTTGATGTCGCTCTTTCGAATGGCGTGGTTTAAATTTTCCAAAAATGCCATTTAGCCTCCCCTTTTCTTCAAAACATACAAAAAAATTCAAGTTTTCAGCATGTAAAAATAGTTTCCGATAACTATACTTAAAACATATGCATTCGTATTTTTAGTTTTTTTCAGCTTTCTATTTAAAATGGCGACTGAAAGCCAAAAATATTTTGAAAATTACGTATGAACATTCTTTTTTAAATTGCTTAAAATTGCTTGAAATTTGTTACTCGGAGGTTTTCGGGGTCGCTGATTACACAGAAAATTAAAAGGCATTAAAATAAGCTGCAACGCTTATTATTTTAATCCATTTTGGTATTAAAATATAAGCAAAATTGGATTAAAATAATAAGCGTTGCAGCTTATTTTAATACCTTATAATTTTCTGTGTAGGAATCTGAAGTCAGATTTTAAAAATTCAAAATGGCTTGTATAAAGATTGTATAAGGAATTGACCCTCTTTATGTATTTTCACTTCAAAAATCAAAAATATAATCTAAAAATTTTGGGAGCTTAGGTACCTTTTCTCGCGGTGCGTCACATATGCATTAAGTACAGCTATCGGGAACACGTTTCTCATAGACGAAACGATACGTAGAAATCAATAAAATAGAAAGAATTGCAATAAAAAAAATTGAACATGCCGAAAACTTAAATTTTTGGGTGTATTGAAGAAACGGGGGATTTAAATGTTATTTTCAGAAAATTTTAACCACGTTATTCGAAAGAGCGACCTCAAAAATAATTAAAAACCCCTCCATTAAGTTGGCGTCGACGCTCAACGTTGAAAGTTATTTTTCACGGGACCAAAAATATCAAATCATTTTTAAAACGGTTTTGGGTTCACATAATACCTTAAAAAAATTTCTCAAGGCATTATTTGGACCGAAAATATTTTTTAAAAAAATAATTTGACATTTTTCGTCCTGTAAAAAACAATTTTCGGCACTGAGCGTCGACGCCAACTTCATGGAGGCTTAAAAACGGTATGTTTGACACTTAAACATTTTTTTTTTTTTTTTGCTAATTGTACGAAATTGAAATTCAAGTCGAAAAGTTAACCTTTAGGCGTTAACGGGTTAATAACTGTTGAATGTCGTTTTTATATAACTCTTTAAAACCTGAACATGTACATAAATATCTACATTGTCAAGTTCATTTGGGTAGTTCTTATTGTTATAAAAATTTCGAATTTTGATCATTCCCGACTAAAGATAGATATGACATTTTTTTATCTTATCTCAATAAAAAGCAACATTTATTCAGTTTTTGTGCAAAAATGTCGATGCATTTTCCTTAACATTTATTTTAAAAATATATTACTAGAATTTCAAAATTTTTTTCAGATCATTTTATCCTTATTAACATCAGCTTCTGTGGCTCACTAATCTCTCCCAAATTGGAAAAAAAGAAGGTAACAAATATGAATGCCAATGTCAAAATGGTAATCTTTCTTCCTTTTTTGATGATTTTCTTGATGATCATAAACAACTTTGATAAAAACGTTCCGAAATTTACAAGTCTTAGAAAATTCTGCGATAATAAATTATGTAATTTTAATAATAGAAGTAAAGGTCTAACTTTGTCCATTGACAATACAGTAATACATCAGCACGCGAATTTCTCATCACAGGAAACGGATTTGGGAAATACTAAACACTTGCATCTATTCCGAAATTTTGCAAACATTTCAAACGTAGACGACTTGGTATTAAAGGCCTTTTACTATACAACAGATGCACTAATTGTTATTTCACTTCTAACAAACTTTATCAGTTTTGGAATAAGTATTGGCAGTGAATTTTCGAAAGATTTTCTTCGACAAAGTACAAGCCGTTTTGCTATTAAGGAATCGTTGCAACTTGCAATTCCAATTCTTCAGGGAATAATTACAACAGAAATTGTCACGAAAACATCAAAACTTATAACGAAACCAGTAATGGCAAAAGTTAATTTTTCTCCGACTGATCGAAAAGAACTCTATTTTAAATTCTTTCATCATAGATATTATTTAATAGATAATCAGTTTATTGGAAAATGTAATAAGACTACTGCAATGCACATTTTAAAACATTATAGCTTTTCTACACTCCAAGAGTTATCTATTTTCGCGAGGGATCTCAACAAATTTGGATTCGCTCCTTCAACATACGATAATCAGTGGCTAAATAATCCTAAGTTGTATGAAAAATTAAGGTTTTATTCGTATGTGGAAATTGGGTTATACCAAAGGAAAGCAATTGAACTTATTGAAAATATTTATAGCCAAGAAGATATTAGTTTAATAAACATTCCCCCAGGATCTGCGTTTGATGATTATATGGCTAATAAACTATTTGACACTATTTCCTTTGACGATTATTATGCGATAAGAATTTTTTTGTCTGATCCTAATGCAAACACAGATTCTGATACTCCTCATTTTTGGAGAATAAAAAAAGCTATTTATAGCTTAGCAATTCGACAGTACGATTCATTTAAAAAAGCAGAAAACAAGCAAATAATACTGTATTGCAAAAGAACGAATGACATTCAAAAAACCACTTTCGTTAGTTCAAGGCAGAGAATATTGTCAACTAATGGATTTCTTTATTGCAATGAAGACAGTAGTGAATGGGATTATTATTCTCAAATTTTATCTGAAGAAAATGAATTACATATACCTGTCTCTTTGCAATTTTTTAAAATAATACTGAAGTTTCCATTTTTAGTCCTTGATGTGAAAAACATTGATGCACATTCCAAGCATTACATAATTCTTCCTTCAACTAAGTTTAAATTAATTCAGGAAAAATTTACTTTTATTGATCAAACTAATATTCATTTTTTAATTATACAGTCCTATTATAAAATAATCCGAAATTACTGGTTGGCTGAAGTAGCAAATTCAGTCTCTCATTTTGAAAATAAAATTAATGGTGAAGATATGTCTGAGCCTTTTGAGCGATTGTATTGCAAATAGTAAATGCAATAAGAGGCTTACAATAATAATCATAGAAGTTAAAATAATATCCTGATTAATTTCCACACGTTTTGCGTATATATATTTGTAACATTTATGTTGTTCTCTTTCGGTGTAAATGTGCTCATTGCAGGCAAAAATTATTTATAGGAAAATATTGTAAATTTTTTTAAAGTATAATAATTTTCTTCTATGTAACAATATTTTCAGAATATATCACGAAGCTGAAGTACTCAACGTTTATGATAAACGATTTTTAAAGGAATAATTTTTAAAATGAAAAATTCTATAATTTTTTGCCTAAAAAATATTTTTGTATAATTTGTTGATTAATGAAAACCACAAGAAATATTTTTTAGGTAAAAAATTATAGAATTTTTCATTTTAAAAAATTATTTCTTTAAAAATCGTTTATCATAAACGTCGCGTACTTCAGCTTCATAATATATCTTTGTTTTAAAAACGGCACTAAACCGTCTTTAAATGTAAATCTTTATTAAAAATATATAAAACATTATATTCTTGATTATTTCGCCCTTCTTTACTATTCCAACCGGTTCAAAAATTTCTTGTTTACAGTATATAAAGGACTCTCAATTGCATAAATGCTGTGTTTCCGGTTTAATGACATTTTGAAAAGTCGTTACACTTCTGTTATAATTTTATTAGTTCATGGAATATCCTATGAATAATCACTAGGAAATTCGAATAATTCCTGAAATTCAAAAATATTTCTGATTTTAAAAAAAAGGTAAATTTCAAATATAAAAAAATAATTTGCACCATTGGAAAAAGCAGGATAAAACTTTTCAAAAACATGTAGATTAAAACAATTTTTTTACTCTTTTATACAAAAGTTATAATTTAAAAAAAATCCAATGTTACCTATTTTCCTATTGGATCACTTGAGAAATTTTGTTCCATATTAATATATTCATTCGTAAAGTAATTCAACTTGTTTTGAAAGTTAATTAGATTGACGATCTCTCCAAGTTTTGCATCGAATCATTTTTTTATTGCTTCATCAATAAATTAAAGTAGTTGAGTTTTCTTAAATTAAATATTAAGCTTGATGCGAGAAAATTTAATTATTATTCAAAATCGATTATACTTATCAAAAAGGGATGCACTTCAAAACTTCGTAAAGTTCATAACGTTTATTGATCAATAACTCCAACCAGTATCTAAATTTTTTTTTAAGAAATAGGTGCAAAAAATCAGTTTTTTGCGAATTGCCGCCTTCCAGAACATTTTAGCATAAAAATAGTTATTATAAAAAAGAAAGTGTATAAAATTCTAAGTAATTTTATTTAAAAAAAATGATCCATGTAGCTCAAAAATTGACTGAGATATAGTTTCCGCAAAAACTGCATTTTCTTTCGTGATTTTAGCCAAAATCCACTATTTTTCATTTTTTTCAATATATCTTTCAAACTAATGCTTTTTGAAAAAAATGACCAACAGGAAAGTTAAAGCCGACTAAATTCCTGACAATTTGCAAAAAAGAACAACACAGAAAATTAAAAGGCATTAAAATAAGCTGCAACGCTTATTATTTTTTTAATCCAATTTTGCTTATTTTAATCCATTTTGGTATTAAAATAAGCAAAATTGGATTAAAATAATAAGCGTTGCAGCTTATTTTAATACCTTACAATTTTCTGTGAATGTAATAGCTCTAATAGTTTCCGAGATACAGTCTATCAAAGAGCCTCGGCAAGCCCCATGCAAAAAATGCCCCTTTTTCGTACCTCGAATTTTGAAACTTTTTTTATGCCAAATGGTTACATATGATGACCCAATAATCCCTGCAAAATTTCAAGATGAGCATGTGCCCCCTTTCCGAAATACAGGGGGTCAAAGCAGGCCATGTCCAAAATTAGAATATGCAATATAATCGAATAATAATGTTAAAAAAAATCAGACCAAATGGTTCCCTTAAGATTTTCGTCTGCTGATTACGAATATAATGTACGTTTTTAAAAATTCAAAATGGTGGATCCAATATGGCGGACGACATTTTTGAAAATCGATTTCAAGTCAATTGGATCGATTTTTAAAAATGTCGTCCTCCATATTGGATCCGCCATTTTGAATTTTTAAAAACGGACATCATATTCGTAATCAGCAGACGAAAATCTTAAGGGAACCATTTGGTCTGATTTTTTTAACATTATTATTCGATTATATTGCATATTCTAATTTTGGACATGGCCCGCTTTGACCCCCTGTATTTCGGAAAGGGGGCACATGCTCATCTTGAAATTTTGCAGTGATTATTGGGTCATCATATGTAACCATTTGGCATAAAAAAAATTTCAAAATTCGAGGTACGAAAAAGGGGCACTTTTTGCCGAGGCTCTTTATTGAATATTAATTATTTTCTATAATTTAAGTGATATATAATAATAATTGAACAAAAAGTTAAAGAATATTCAATGATTTATACATTTTCTTGATAGTACCCGGTTTTGCCCTACCATCGGGGCACCGAGTACTTTGCATTTTTTTTTGAAAAATCTGATCAAAAAATTTTTTTTCATGCAATCGACCTTATTTTCTCATTCTCTAATGTTCAAGGAAGAATTTTCAACGAGATTTGAACTAATTTATTTGATAGATTCTTTGTCAACCGAGAATTCCAAAAAGGTACCCGGTTTTGACCCATACTCTCCCCTACTCTCTAAATTTGAATTAGTTAAATTTTTAATAACTACTTTGAATCGATGACTCACTATTTGCTTTTAAATTAGTTAAATTTTCCAATTGATAGGACGCAAGCTTCAAGGACCTTAGATGTAAACAATTTTTAGGTTATGTTTAATATCGCAAATTATTATAAATCAGCTTTGAAAAGTAAATTTTTTTTATTAATATGTGACGTGTTCCACTAGAATAGAGACCTTAGAGAGAAAAATTGCAGGTTATGTTCAGTGATAGTTTTAGATTGATTAAACATTTATTTCTAATTTTATATGTAAAACCAAAATCAGTTTTTAATATATATTTTGGATCTAATGGAACACTTATTAGTGGCTTATTAAGAATTATAATCATCTTTTTGTAGTATCACTCTAAAAAGTACAAACATAACCTAAAATTTCTTTGCGTAAATTTCTCGAAGCGTAACATATATGTATATATGTATGTAATAAGTAAACTTTGCGTTGGAGTACACGGAAAGAAATTTAGTAGCAATATTTGATAAATCTGATAGGAAATTTTAGTATTCTCTTTTTCAAACGCGGAACATTTGGGTTTGATAACGAAAATCGGTATATTTTTACCAATAGTCTTTTTAGTAAATATATTCCAGAAATTGAAATTATTATTTCGTAAATTGATAAATTTATACGAAAAACCAGAAGTAAGTTAAATCGACGCGCACTTCGTTATTTACTAAATTTATATGAAAATTTGGAAAGATTATTTCGAAATTTGTTAAAACTATACTAAAAATTCGAAGTGGTTCAGTCGTGACAGATGACGACAGAAACTCCAACAGATTCTACGCCAAAGTTTTATCTCTTTCTCATCTCGAGGATAGACGAGGATATGAACTTTTAAATGCACACACACACACATACACCGCATTGTTTTACATCGATTGGCTTATTTTTATTCCTAACCTATACTAACGATAATACGTATAACATTCGCAGAATAACGCTTCATATACAAATTTACGCTCATGTGAAAAACTGATGTGACCATTCTTATATACTAACCAGACATATTTTTCACCGCTTATGAGAAAGGTGAAATTATATTAAAACATGTTTAAAAATATAAATAAAAATCATTATTTATTGGGAAATAATTAAATATTTTATTATTTTTTGAAGAACAATTTTTTTTACTGATTTATTGTAAAATCTTCGAAATTAATTATATAAAAGAAATTCAGGTCCTGTATCAAGATAATAGTAAAAAGGGGCTTGTCTAAAGAGCTTCGTCAGTCTTCGTTACCACTCGGTGAGGATAGGGCAATTCCGAACGTTCAACTTCGGCAAATTTCGTCGAATCTCGTTAACTTTGATATTTCTTTTTCAATTTTCATATCAAATATATCAAAATCTGAAATAATTATATCATTTTATACAATTCTAATTACGAAATTTGAAATATTTGGTTAGAAAAATTGATAAAGAGCTTATTAAAATTTGACATTTTTGTGTTTCAATAAAAAGATTTTAGATTTCGTAAATATTATATCAAATTTTCTTTCCAACTATATTAAATATTCTTATTTTAATCTCAATCATTCTTAAAAATAGTATCGAAAATCGTTATCATGCCAAAATGTTCCGCAATTGTAACCAAATATACTAAAAAGTAACACCATAATATCAAATATTGCTACAAACTTTCTTTCCGTGTATTAACTATATAAAAATAGTTAAACCAATTAAAAATGTGATTGGTAGAATGACATTTTGTGATTGTATTAACTCAATTTAAAAATGTTAAAACAACTTAAGATGTAAGTAGTAGATTTTACTACTCAAAGTGGTTCAATAGGCTTTAAGAACATTTTTTTGGTACATTTAATAAATATTTTGCAATTGAAACTACTACTTTAAGTATAGTAAACTTTACTACTAAAAGTGGTTCAATAGGCTTTAAGAGCATTTGAACCTTCGTGACGTCACAAATCATGGCGCATGACACGCAAACTTCTCAGGTATGTGAAAAGCACAATTTTTAATATTTTTTAAAAAAACCTTTTGGAAAATGTTCAGAATAACATAGACTCTGTCTGTTATATGCGGAAAATTCAAAATTTTGCGTTTAAAACGTTTTTTAAACAATGTTTAAGTTGGTTGTCACAAGTAAGGAAAAATACACGAATTGCTTATATGTAGGCCATTTTTGGAACTTAAACATTGTTTAAAAAACGTTTTAAACGCAAAATTTTGAATTTTTCGCACATAACAGACAGAGTTTGTGTTATTCTGAATATTTTCCAAAAGGTTTTTTTAAAAAATATTCAAAATTGTGCTTTTCACATACCTGAGAAGTTTGCGTGTCATGCGCCATGATTTGTGACGTCACGAAGGTTCAAATGCTCTTAAGAATATTTTTTTGTAGAATTAATAAATCTTTTTCAATTAAAACTACTACTTTAAGTAGTAGATTTTACTACTTCAAATAGGAAAATAAAATTATTTTTTATTTACAATTGTTTATTATCAGTAGAATTGACTTTTTCATCCTCTCTCCTATATTGACGCTTATTTTATGCCCTAACGATTATGTACCTAACAGAGAAAATTTCTAACCGACGGGAATTGGACCCTCTACCCTAACGCTCGCTATCCGATACCTTAACCGACTAACCACGGACGCTCGCTTCGACAGTCTGCAAACTACTCGAAGACTACTTTCTGCTTGTCCAATTGGTAATTTAACTACACGGAGAAAAAAGATTTCTTTTATAAAGTAACTTTTACTACTTTCAGAGTAAAACTGGACCAACTCGAAGTTTCTGCGCATCTCTGGCAATTTTTACTCCAAAAATAGTAAAATTTACTCTAGAAATAGTAAAACTTACTACGGAAACAGTAAAATTTACTACAGAAATAATAAATTTTACTATTTTTGGAGTAAAAATTGCCAGAGATGCGCAGAAACTTCGAGTTGGTCCAGTTTTACTCTGAAAGTAGTAAAAATTACTTTTTCTTTTTCTCCGTGTATTTAAAGTAGTCATTTTTACTACTTTTATTAGTTGCTATAATTATCCTTTTTAAGTTTTGACTTGTAAATTTTTCATCTTTTAATTATATATTATAAGTTTTTTAATTGCATAGTGCAGTAAAATCTACTACTTAAAGTGATAGTTTTAATTGCAAAGGATTTTTTAATTCTACGACATAAATGTTCTTAAAGCCTATTGTACCACTTTGAGTAGTAAAATCTACTACTTAAAATAGTAGTTTTAACTGGAAACGATTTGTAAATTCTACATCAAAAATCTTCTTTAAGTTTATCGAATTAATTAAAATAGTAAAAATCTACTACTTAAGGTATTAGTCGCGCGCCGGCTCTAACCAAAAGTTTGTCTTGAGTCTGACTCAGTATGTGCTTAGCAAGAGGTATAGTTCTGAGTCAAACTTTTTGAAGGGTACAGGTAATTTTCACTCAGAGCGCCGCGTTCTCGCACGTGTAGAACTAAAGTTTTGATCGCGGCAACGTCGCAATCTGAATGTACCAGTGCTACTGAATGTTAGAGTCACAAAAAGTGTTTAGCTGTTTTTGTCGTAATTATTTAATACTAATCTATGTTGTGAAATTTTAAATATATTATTTTTTTATTCTACTCTATGAGATATTCCTACTTTCTAACCACAGAAAATTAAAAGGCATTAAAATAAGCTGCAACGAGGATGAAAATTGATGAAAATTCTGCAACTTTAATCCAATTTTGCTTATTTTAATCCATTTTGGTATTAAAATAAGCAAAATTGAATTAAAATAATAAGCGTTGCAGCTTATTTTAATGCCTTTTAATTTTCTGTGACTGTGTACTTTGCATGATTTTGAATTTTGAATGCATTCGCGCGCTACAGCGTTGCCAAGTTTACTGCTTTCCAGCAGTGGAACTTCATATAATTTAAAATTTTGTTAACTTTCTCCTAATATATTTATAGTTTGGTACGGTCAAAAAATTTCAGTTTTTTTGTATGCATTCGTTTCATGAGAATGTATTATGTGGTAGTTTTATTTTAAAATCTGACGACTGGTTTTCATTTAAATAATTATAAAGCAAATTCCTTACATGCATTAGGTGCTCCGTCCATGTAAAAAGTATCAACTTTGAAATGATATTTTAAAGCTTAGGAACGGTCAAAATCGATGGGATTGGTCTTATTTTGTAGATAATTATGTCAGAAACACTCATGCAAAATTTAAAAAATATCTGACGAAAATGATTTTACGCGACTAATACCTTAAAGTAGTAGTTTTAATTACAGACGACTTGTTAATTCTACAAGAATTTTATTGAAGCCTATAAAATCATAGAAATTAATAAAAAATTGACTACGCAAAAAGCAGTTATATTAATTAAAGAAAATAATTCCTTTTACTACATTTCATATAACTGGTGAATAGTAGTTGGATTTACTACTCTTCAAATTATGAGTTGACTACAATTCCACTTGTTTTTACTACCTTACGAAAGTTAATTTTACTACCGACCTGTAGTTGTACTTTAACTACATATTTACGTAAAATCAACTATTACTTATTAACTTCTTAAAAATAGTTACATTAACTACATTAACATGATTAGATTAACTAAAAAATTAGTTATTTTAAATACTTTTTAGTCAATTCTAGTTTAATTTCTCAGCAACATTTTTTTTCAGTGTAATATTCTAAATTTCAGAATGGTTTTTTTTTCAGTGAAAGCATCTATTTTCACAGAAAATTAAGATAAAATTTAATGTGAAAAATTAATTAAAAAGTTGTAACTTGATTCGTGTGAGAAATGGGGTTAATAACCTTCGAGACCAAAGTTGATGAAAGCTTGTAATAAGCTTTTCCTATCATTACGAAACTTTGATTTAGTTTATGAGAATGTGTTAATTGGCAAAAGCAAATTTCCAACACAATTATTTGATTATATAGTATATTCTTCAAAATTAATTATTTTCAACTTTCTTTTTTAAAATTATATAATTATTAAGTTACAGTTTTTTTTTTCAATTTAAGACATATTTGTAAATAATTTTTTAAAAGATGTATTTTTTTTATTAAAAAAATATATTTGGAAATTTTAGAATATGTCAATGTACTCTATATAAGTTGTAGACATTTGCAGAGTCATCCCCTTTCCTTCAAAGCGATTGCAATATATAACTCAGATGTTCTATCCAATACACTTTGAGAGAGATCAAATAAAAGGTTAGAAATGCGAAAAAAAAAAAAATAAAAGTCGTAAAACAACTTCGTGGACACAAAATTTTTTTTTCTTTTTTAACTAATATAATATTTTGTAATTTAATATTTAATTTTAAATTAAAATATTTAAAATTATTTTATTTGTACTATTAAAAAATAAAATTATAATTTATTAAAATTATGCCTAACCTAACCTAACCTGAACTTTCGTTAGCGAAATCAAAAATATGATTTTAAGAGAAATATAATTTTTATTTAAAATTTCACATACATTATACGATACATTATACATTATACCAAAAATAAAAATAAAACTAGCGAAATTTCGCGATAATTAAAAGTATTTCTATATATTTTTGTCCAAAAGTTGTTTTATAAAAAGAAAATTCATTAAGGCAAAAGAGGACGTGACATAAAAATAATTGTGACACTTTTTATTAAGTGTTTTTCTTTTTCTCGCTAGAAAATTTATAAAAAAAATTCAAATGTATTCATTTCGTTTATAATAAAAAAAAATAATTCGATTAAATAGGGTACTTACTTGGAATATTTAAGACGAATTTATTTTCAAGTGCAGATAAACTGGGTTACTTTATTGTCGCTCATCCTCTTTATATATTATAATTACTTCAGACTTGACTAACTAATTAACCGCTCTGCTTTATTTGAAAATAAAAAAAAAATCCTCTTGTTATTTTCTGTTTCAGATGGATCTATATATACATTTAATAGACTTGTTTTAAAAGTTTCAACAACGAATGAAGAACGGCTTGTAAAATTTTTGGAGCTTAACTAATTGCAATTTACGCACACACACACACACACACTGAATATTACAAATTCATAACATTTTTTCAAATTAAAAGCACAATATTGAAGCATATTTCTCATATCTATACATTTAAAAAAAAAAAATTTATATCACATATATATATAAGTCTCAAAATATGGAAAATAATTAGCTGCCAGAAGAATTTAAATTTGCTATAATATTTTTTCACATTAAATTTTTGAAAAAGAGTGAAATTTTCTCCCTTTTTTCTACTCTTTTTATAAAAAAAATATATATATATCCTCAAAAAGGGACCAATTTTCAATTCGAAAGTATTAAATAATATAAGCAACAACAACAACAGGATATATAGTCATTTAAAAGGTGAAAAAAAAAAACTGTTTCAAAGGGAGAAAAATGAAATAAAAACGAATTTATTGAAATAATGAATTGAATTTAAAAAAGAAAAGGAAACCAAGAGAAAATTTGTGACACGAAGAAACCTGTATTAAGGTTTGTGAATGTAAGACGTCCTTTAGAAAATGTGATTTTTCAAGAAAGAAAGAAAGAAAAAAAAAATAGAATTCAAGTGAAGAAAGTGATTATAATCGAGTGCCAAATTATATATCTATCTATATATATATATATTATATAAAAATATATACATATTAGCTTTGCGGATACAATTTAATTGTAATATTTTAAAAAGCAATATTGCAAAAACCGTGAGATATATATATATCTGATTGAAAGGAAATATTTGAAGGAAGTTATTTTCAATTCGCAACATGCCTGCTCCAACATCAACAAGAACTACCAGTAGTGAAGCTATTCGAATGGAGCCTCTTGGGAGAACATCTAGCTCCCGAAGCCCTGGACAAAACGGAACTGCCAATACTGAAGTGCCCGCAAATTCCGGTGAGTGTCAAAGCTATTGAATTATTCCTTAGGATTCTTTTTCTTTTGTTTCTTTTTTCATTCTTGCCACGAGACATTTGGAACAGAAAACGTAAAAAACAATTTTCTATAGTATTCTTTAAAATATTGCTTTAAAGAAACATAATTTCTTTGTTGTTAGATAAATAATTGTTAGGTTTATTATTTTAAGTTATAAATTAACTGTTTTTTTTTAAACTGCTGTTTATTTGAAAATTTTAAAATGAAAATTTTCAATTTATAATATACATATATATACAAAGCCCTTCTAACCTATGACCCTAATTTTAAGGTTATGTCAGTATTTTTTTTCTATGTCCTTGACCAAATTTTGAGGTTATGTTAGCCTCCACGCTTATGATCTTTCACGTAAATTTGAGGCTATGTTCTCCTATGATCTATATAAAATTTTAAGGGGGAGGGTCATCTCTTGACCTATGATACTAATTTTGAGGTTATGTCCGTCTAAACTCCGTGAAAAACCAAAGTTATTGACATATGACCTTGATTTTTGAGGTTATGTTCGTTTTAATCTATGTTTCTGTCGTTTGACCTTGAGTATTGATGTTATGTTAATTTTTAACTTATGTTTTTGACATGGTTAGTACAGTTCTGCGGAGACAACGATATAGGTACAATTAATTCCCGCGTGATATTCAATACTTTGAAATTTTCGAGATATATTCTGAATAGTACGTGAGTTTGAATGCTTCGCGAGTTGAATGTTAGGCAAGTATACGCAATGAGTTCTCGCGTAGCGTCGAAATTTTCGCCTAGCGTTCATTCTTGAATCAGTGGCGGCGGCGATATCTTTTTATAATATATATAGTATTGATACATGGGGGTTTGAACCAAGGACCCTTGGTTATGTTGCTCATTATGTTTCTTCTTCTTAAAAAATATAAATATTAAAATTATGGAAAATTTGATTTGTATTTAATAGAAATAATTAGTTAAGTTAGCCGATTTTAACCTTAAACCCAGCAGCTTCTTGATCTACACAGAAAAAAACTGAACACAGAATGAGCCATGTAGGCGGCTGATTTTGATGTGCAACAAAAATGAACGAGATTGGTGGCGCCACTGTCTATGTGGTTTAGCATTGGCTCATTTTGATTTGCAACAAAAATGAGACTAGGTTTTTTTCTGTGCATATGTCCTTATCATTTGACCTTAAATTATGGAGATATGTTTCCTTATTGATCATTACATATCACTTAATTTTGAGGTTATATTTTAAGTTTTGTTACTATTTTCGTCCTAATTTATATTTACAATAAGTTAAGCGACTGGTTTGAGGTTTAAACATAACCTCAAAATTAAGTCAAAACTCAGAGCTAAAATACGAACATAACCTCGAAAATTCAAGATTTATTGCGTTCTTGTATATTATAAATTAAAAAGTATTCTTTTTCACTGTAGCTCGTCTGCAACTTATTCCTTTGTAAAATAATTATAAAAAAAATTAACTACTAGCTTATACGATATTTGTCTAGAATTTGAATTATTTCTTAAAGTATATCGGTATTTTGCCAGAAATGCGTGAATGATGCAAGTTCCAAAAGTGTGTTAAACTTACCTACACATGCCTCATGTGAAATATGTGGAGTTGGTTTATACAATATTAAATCTAAAAAACTTAATTTTTGCTGAGAATAACTTAATTTTGCCTTTGAGTTACATTTCCAATTTTTTATATTTTTCTACAAATTTTTTTTTTCATACTTGTTTTTTATATCATTGTAAACTAATCAAATTCAAAATATTAAAAAAATTCGGAATAAAATTGTTATTAAGGAATTAGTTAATAATATTATGTGATGCTCCACGAGAGAAGGGATCTTATATACTTCAAAAAAGTTTTAAATTATGTTTGTGATTTTTGAAGTGATGATACTCAAAGATAATCAACTATTAATACAAAACATTTATGTTTAACTCTCCATTATATATTCAATAAATTTAATAAGAACCAAATTTGATTTTACTCACAAAAAAAAATCTTTATCTGGAACAGCGATATATTTCTCTAGAATAGCGAAAAATTACGTTGATTTAGTGAAACTTATCGCTGTTTCAGTTGAAGATTTTGTTCCCTTACTTATAATTAAAATGAAACTTTTTATCAACGTAAAACTATCACTAAACATAACTTAAAATTGTCGTTTATTTAATCAAATGAGTCGCCGGAAAGTAAAACCACACATAAAATTCTGACGGCCATGTTAATTCAATGGGAGTCAGAATTTTATGTGTAGTTTTACTTTCCGGCGACTCAAATTATTTCGTTGAACTAATCAGAAAATAATTTAGTAGATCGAACAAAAAAACCGATTTAACAACAAATTTTGGTTGGCTTTAAATATTTTGTTGTTTTTATATAAAAATAAAATTTATTGGAGATAACAAAATTTTTTGTTCGTATACCAAATAGTTTTTCTTAGTATATAATAATAAATCATTTGCTACAAACTTTAACTTCTTTTATGAAATACAATAAAAAGTTAAGTTAAACCTCAAGAAAAAAGTGATTTAATTTAAAATTTATCATAGTATAGTTTTTATTTTTTACTTTTGACTGTCTTTATAAATATTATTACGTTCAAAAATGTTTCGTATACAAAATAAATAAAAAATTAAAATCAGAATAACTAAGAGAGGTCAAAAGTTCAAGAGTTCAGTAAGTTTTTTTTTTCAACACATATTTCCCTAAATAGATTGTTTTTCATCTCACTATTCCGAATACAATTCAGAAATATTTTTAGAATTTGCTGAGAAGTGTTTGTCATTTCTTTCTGAATTTTTGTTTTTAGAAAATTTTTTAATGTATACATAAGAAACATATAGAGGAAGGAAAAACAAGATTTAGAATAACTTGTTTCAACTATACTAACTTTAATCTTCTTTAATTTAATCTTTAATCTCATAATTAAGCATTCAAACTAGTTTTAAAACTTTTAATATCTTTAAACTGAATCAGAATTTATAATTTATATTTGTTATATTAAGATTTTTCTTTTTTATAAACAAAATTAGTAGTATATTTGATTTTAAAAATATTTAAATTAAAATAAATGACTTGCAAAATTGTAAAAGAAAATTTTCAGATATAAAAAAAAACAAGTATATCTAACACGTTTCTAGTGAAGTTGTCGGACCATACATTACTTGATCTACTTGCATTGAATATAAATGAAATCCATTCACATTACCATTTGACTCACTTACGAGATTAACTATCATTATACACACACATATATAGCAATCTTTTACGTGCATCAAAAACAAGAAAATATAATTATAGTCGTAAATAAATTATTCGTGCAGTAAATCATCCAATCAAGCCACGATTGTTTGATCAATTTTTGCAATGATGGCTCTACTGATGCATCGCGAATAATCGTGTCAAATATTTTGTCTTTATAGTTAAAAATAGGATTTTTGTTTGGTAAAACTGTGAAATTTTTCTATTTCTAAAACTATATAGGAAATCTGGTTTCTATTATACAAATTAATAATAAATGCTAAATACTTTTTCTATTTAAAATTTTGTAAATTTTTTAATTAATTTTAAAATTGTGAAAATTTTTTTGTAAAAAAATTACAGTGCCATTGGGGCCATCCATAAACTACGTTTAATAATTTTTCATTCTTTTTATACCCCTCCCCCCTCGTTACCATTGCGTTAAATGCATTTAAAGACTTTTTGACCACCTCCCCCATTAAAATAGGTAACGTAATTTTTGGATGACTCCATTCCAAGAGTTTTTTTTTTTTTTTTTTTTTTTTATTACATTTCGAAGTAACCTCACCAATTTAACCCTCAACTGGCACCATGGGTAAAGTAGACCCGAGCATTTTTTCGAGATTAAATTAATTGAACGTGTTGCTTTTAAATATTTTTTATATTTTAATATATATTAGTTTGACATATTTTTAGTAATTTTGAAAAAAAAAATTTTTTGATAAAAATTTGATTTTATTAGATATTTTATTTTATAATTAACGAATTATTAAGTATGACATTATGTTATTAATAATTATGTATGACATTAATTATTTATTAAGTTAATTATTTGTCATATTTAAAATAAAATAAAATATCTAATAACATCAAATTTTTCAAATGTTCCCGCGCTGCGCTGATGGCTCAGCTATGGACTTTAGTTCGCTCAACGCCACTGGAAGGGCGAACATCATAACTGTTTCTCGCAGTTGAGATGCCATTAGACTGGTATATAAGCAGTGATCGAAAATTTTTTTTCTTGTCGAAATTTTTTTCTGCCCGATGTCTCTCCTATTTATTGGATTTGTCACAAACTCTTTTTTGGAAGAAATGGTTTCACTAATACTTTGATGACCATTTTTTTATTTTAATTTAATTATTAAAAATAAAATAATAATAATAATAACTATTAAAAAATAATAAAAATAAATTATTTTTTTAAATTTTGATTTTTAAAATTATTATTAAAATTTTTAATATTGGATAATTATTGGTTGCCAATGATGGTTGCCAATTATTGGCATCGGCGTGGAAAGCCCATGACTTTACCAATAATGGTCCATTATTGGGTGCCATTATTGAAATTATATTGGCATCTCTGGCTCCCATTATTGGGCCATTAATACGCCAATGGTATTTTTCCCATTGTGGTGTATAACCTTAAATTTTGAAGTCATAATATTAAAATTTAAATAACTCGTGAATTTTTAAGTAAAAAAACGCAATTTTTTATTTTTCACAATTTTTTTAACTAACTTAAAATAAATTAATCCCTGTAAAACAAATGAAAATTTAAAAAACACATAAGGTATCTCAGATTAAATTTTTGTGCAAAAATATTCAATACCGGCTGCACAATATACGTTTGAATACGTCGGGTCCAGCAAACCCGTTGTGCTATTTACGTTCGAATCAAAATTTTCCGCAGTTTCTGGCAATTTTTACTTCAAAAATAGTAAAATTTACTACTTCCGAA